TGGTGCTGGGCTGAGTGCAGAGTGCCTATTGCTTTGAAGCAGCTCAGTTCTGGTGGCTGAAGTGCTTTTGTGGGGCTCTTCACCAGGTTTCACCCCCTAGCAATCCTAGCTGGGGTTCTGAGCTCGAGGTGTTGCACTTCTTTCTTTTGGGATGCTGGAGATCTTTAAAGACACTGGCCTGTTTTAACTTTCTTCAGGTGATTTCTGCCACCTTGGACCAAGATCAAATTGGGCTTCTCTGTATCGAAGCTGGACATTGAAGCCCTTTCTAATCTTAGATCCAAACAAAACATGAAATTTGGCACAGGGTTCAAATTCATGGATGTCAACAGGCATTATGTGAGGATGGACTCATAGCAGTGGTGGCAGAGATGGGTTCTACCCTGCTCTGATATCTGCATGTGCACCTGCAGGACTGTCAGCTGGCCATCATGGGTGTGTTGACGAGCCACTATTTTATTAATGTTTATTATTTGAGTGCAGACAGCAGGCTTCGTTTGGTAGTAAATACAAATGTAGTCCCTGCCCCAAACATCTTACGCTATAGAAGACAGATACACCATAAAGAAACGGGGAGAGACAGAGGTTTGTGACACTGCCTTGTTTGCAGACTTTTGGATTGCTTTTTTTTGGTTGGAAGAGATGGGTGGGGAGGGAATTTTGTCTTGGTTTCATGCACCTTTTTCCCCTCCCAAGGAATAGGTGCTGGGTCAGCGTTTGACACAGCAAGAAGGTGCTGTGTCTGTGCACATAGAAGATGCCTGTATGGGTTTGCATGGGGAGAGTGGTGCCTGGGGCAGCACAATTCGTGCAGAGGAGGGAACAAAGTGAAAGGCTGTGACACTTACTTTTCTCACTGCTGGTTTGAAGATGAAAGAGGAGGCTTTAAGTTGGTGAAGACTTCTGCAGTGAGTTTGTGGAGCATGTGAAGCAGGGACTGACGTAGAGTATTCCTACTTTAGGAATGGCAGAATAGGTGGCAGAATGAACCTGGAGACCTTTGTTCATGAGATGGCGTGGATTGTGAGGGAAGCTAGATAGTAGCAGATGGGAGAGTCCCACCACAGTGGGAAGATCAGACCTAGAAAAGCATTTCTGCCTACATCTTGCAGTCTGAACAGATTCTTTAGATATTTCTGCCACAGAGAATGGATGCTTATTGTAGAACCAATCCTAATAAGTGCTACAACAAGACATGTGACATTACCACCACTCAGTACTTTCTTCCTCTCCGTCCTTTTGTCCCCCAACAGACAAAGACAACTCACTGAGAAATGGGCTGCTGGTATTTTTTTTCCTGGTCCTGCCTCTCCTTATAGCTGCTGCTTTGGCATTTGCAAGGAGAGACCGACTGAAACGATGCTTCAGAAGGTTGATGTCACGCTGTCATTCGTAAGTACAGCCCCCTCTTCTCCTTCTCTTCTGCCCTTTTGAGGTAGTCCTTAGACATTTCTTTACATAAGCCATTGCTGAAGTATGGAGATATATTCCAGTCCCAAGCTGTCAAGCAATGACAGCTGCACCAAATGATGCATGGAAATTGCTCTGGGCCATGGCAGAAAAAAAGTAGATCAAATTGTACACAGTGGGAGCAGAAAACTTTATTTTTACCTTTCTGTTTGTTGTTATGTCTTTGGTGATGGGTTTTATGCTTTCTGGGTCTTATCTTTGGCGCGGAGGCAAAATAAAGCTGTCACAGTCCTAAACAGAAAAAGGATTATGTTGTTTCTTAGATATGTGGTAAAAACCATCCTCCTGACATTTGGTATTTGCTAGGATGCTCTAAATCCATCTAGCAAGTAAGAAGCACTTGGATTCGTAGCCTATTCAGTCATCCTGTCAAGGTTATGTGCTCACCCAGGTAACATCTCTTGGGTTTCAGGTCACTTCAGTCACCAGCTCCTAGAACAGAAGCAGAACCAAGAGATTTCCCTCACAGAGGCGTTCCACATGGCATGCCTTACCCTTCCAGAGGTGTACCTGTGGTAGGAATTACTTGCTGTCTGTTTTTATTTGTCTCTGAAGTGACTGATGAGGATGGTTTATGTTATTGTACTATTGCAGAGGCTTCAAAGCTGTTGTATTTTTTCACTTGTGTGAATTGGGCTTGCTCTTTGTTAGGAGTGAAATAGAAGCAGTGTTTCCTAAATGGGTTTAAAAGCTCCTCAGTTATTCTTTCTACTGCTTAGAAGGAAATAACAACTGTCATTTCCAGGGCTGGTTGCAAGCCATCTCAGATATCACCTGTATGGTGAAACAAATTTAATGCTCTGAAGTGCAAGTCTGTGAACGTTCTCATTCTGTTTTATCCATAGGACATGGAGCCAAATACTTATCCTGTGCCATCCTACCCCATTAACCAGCATCCTCAGCAGGCCTACCACCAGTCCTACTACCCATCTCCACAGTACCAGGCCCTGCAGCCACAGAAGATGCCTGCAAGGTTGGTTTGTGTTGCTGCAAGTAATGTAACCAACTGTCCTGATGTATATGGCTTGTTGTTGCCTTCATCTTTGTAAGTATCAGGATGTTTCATCAAATGCTGTGAGCAGAGCTGACCTTTTAGTGAAAGGAGTTTCTCCTTTGATTCACACTTTGGAATAAAAGCACATTTGATGCTATAGGGTGCTCTGAGGGCAGCAGAATTTGACCGTGGGGTGTTGGAAGTGAGCCTACATGAGGCATTGAGTGTGCTGGAAGGGGGGAGTCTGTAACAAGTGAGCTCGGGCCGTGCTAGTGCAAAGCAAGAGGAAGATAGGGCTGCTTTGCTGTGTGCATTCTGAGCAGTGTCAGGGCATTTTAGATGCTGTCATGTGAACTCACAGCAACTTGTCTGTCTTTACCACAGGCCACCTCCTCCCCAGCAGAAATGTGTACCTCAGAGACCTCCTCCATCACAGCAGAAATGTTTACCTCAAGGACGTTACTTTCCTTCTCGTCCGGCACCTTTGCCCCCCAAATAGCTTTTGACTTCTTTGGGACCTTCACGTGAGCTGACCTGTTCACTGAAGCAAAGCTGAAGATGGCATTTATCCTTCTTGCATCGAGTGGCCCATGGTAAACCCAGGAAGCCTTCCTTCTGCAGCCATGGATAAGGCAAAAGAGATACGGAAACGAGGAATGTAAACCTTCTCACAAATACCTCTGCCAAAGCTACAGGAGCAGAAAACATCGAGCCTGTTCTTAGGTCTGAGTGTTGTGGCTCTGCATGCTGCAGCAGGGCTGTCCAGCTGGAAGTGCAGCAGTTAAATCACCCTTTAAGTCCAGCGCTCAGGAGTTGCTTTAGGTTCCCCCCCTTTCTGCAATGAGCCCTAAAAATGAAGTTCTGTGTTGTCGTCTTTCTAAATGTCCAGTGAAGATGTAAAAGTAGTCCCATGCCATGTTCAAATCAAGGGAATCTGGCTAATTAATCTAAACTTAGTTTGCATGGACTGGAAAACGTTACCCATTCACACAAATGGCACAAGTGGAACAAGGTATCGGTGTACTTCATCAGAGGAAGATAAATATATTCTAAACATGTTTATGCATGTATATATGTTTATTGATGTGTAATAATGCACTTAAATTCTTCATTTCATGCTGACTGACGCTAAACTACATGAACATTAAGTTTTATTTCATGATTTTAAAGCAGTTATTGTGAGTTGCTAAGTGAGAACCCTGTACTAACTTCCACTAATACCATAAATGGGGAAGGAGAACAAAGGTACGAGAAGACGTGGCCATTTTGTTTTGGTTAAGACAAATTGAGCTTTTAGCTCTGGGTTTTAAGTTGGACCTAAAGACTCTGGAGAAATCCCTGCAGAACACTGGGAAGCAAATAATGTGAATCTGCTGAGACCACCTGAGCTTCTCTGAGCACTTTAAGCAGGAGCTGTTGGCTAAGGCAGCGTTGCCACCTAATCTTCAACCCTTGTTAGTGTCAGTCAGGCTGCTTTCCCAGGCTTACTTGCAGCTGCCATCGGTTTCTGTGCCACTGCTAAACCAGGTTTAACACAGTTCCCAAAAGGGGAGCTCAGCACTTGGTGCTGTGGGTAGGAAGTGATGCTGGAGACAAACAGGAGAATGAAAAAGGGGAAAACAACCCTGGAAAGGTGTGCTTGGCTTTTTCACTTTGTGCTGGCCACTGAGTACAGACTTGCTCTGCAAAGATCCCCCATCGTATTGCCAAAAAAAATTCTTATCTTCTGTATATACATATATAAATATATAGAGAGAAAGTGTTTGCATTTGCAGTAATAAAATACTTGAACTCCTGTGGTTTCCCATAAGCATAGACTAAGATTTATAACACTATTAAAATCCATCAGATGTCACCTAGGCTATCAGCAGACTCGTCCATGGGGGTCTTCTGTCTGTCCCTGCTCCCATTCTGTCCCACTCTTGTCAGGCTCTGCCATTTCCTGGCTCTGCTTTGTGTTTGGCAACGTGGGGAGCTCACATCACAAAGTAATCCAGGATGTCCTTAATTGTACTTCAAGCTGTCCGTGTGAACTAAAACTATGCTGAAAACGGTGCCTTCTAATACGTTTTTATACTTCCTTGTGCATGTTAGCAATATTTGCAGGGTGGTGGTGTGGGGCAACGCAACGTGCAGTTTTTAGAGGCGGTTCTGTGGAAATGGCTCGGGTTTTAAACGTGCCGAATATTGCAGATGACTACTGATTTCCTTTTATGAAGCATACGTGATCCCTGCCCCTGTTGGCTTGGGGGAGGGTTCCCACTTTACAGTGGGAGCAGCATCCCCACCGTTCCCATGAGCTTCTGGGACGCAGTGTGTGTGTTTGTAGCGCTCGGGGGCGACGGACTTGCTGTACCCAACCTTTGTAAGAGCAAGCAAGCAATAAACACGCTGGTTTTGTATAAAAACACCCTTTTTGTCCTCTGCTGCTTTCCTGGACACGTGGCCGTTCCGTTAGGGCCGTTGCTGGTGGAGCTGTTCTGTTGGGGCCGTTACCAGCAGAGCTTTGCTGGTTGGTGCTGAGCAGGCAGCAGCAATGGGGCCCTGCCTGATGCTGGGAGCTGTGCTGCTGGCTGTGATGTGTGAGTGCTCCCTGTGGAGCTGTGGGGCCGGGTGGGGGCTGCTGGCTGTGATGCTGCTCTGCTGCTCTCTCCTCAGGTCCACGAGCGTTGTCACAGATCACAACCCCGCTGCAGCTGCCCCCCAACGTGACGGGGCTGTCGGTACAGTGCTTCCTTCCTACTCATGCAGGGGTGGGTGGGTGCAGTGGCTGGGTGATGGGGGTGATGTGCTGGTGGGTGAGGGGCTCTGCCAGCCCCTCAGGGAGTGTTAAAGCTGGTTGAGCTTCCATTATCTGCTCTCTGAGCTTGCTGTTCTGCTTATAATTCTCCCCTCCTCTGCTTTTCTGCACTCCAAGGACAAGCTGTCCTACATCCTCACGGTGGAGGGGAAGCCATACACCATCCACCTCGAGAAGCAGTGAGTTATACCTGCCCTGCTGTTCTGGCACGGGGCAATTCCCATCTGTGGGCACTGGGGTGAAAGGGGTGGGGGGTGCTTGTGGCTGCAGCCCCGATGGCAGCAGTTTGGGGTCTGCAGGCAGTGTGGGTTAACGCTTCAGTGTTTGACTTAACACTATTCTCCTGCAGTCTCTTTATACCTGAGGATTTTAGGATTTACGTGTCAGATGAGACAGGATCCTCGATGGCTGATTTGACCCATATCAAGGTAAGCTTGGGTTGTTATTATTTGGTGACCAGCACTTGAGACTCCCCAGCTCAGAAGGGGTTCCCTCTGCTTTGCCATAGGGCGACTGCTACTACCGTGGCTCCATCGAGGGCATCCCTGGTTCAGCAGTGACCCTCAGCACCTGTGCAGGGCTCAGGTATGGGTGCAGGGCTCTCAGGTAGGAGGTACCAGGCCTGGCACTGCTGGTGGCACCGTCTCCCCCCGCAGGGGCCTGCTGCAATTCCACAACGCCAGCTTTGGGATCGAACCTCTGGGCTCCTCTCCCACCTTCGAGCATTTCGTTTATCGGCTGAGAAATGAGAACACGGCGGGGTTCCTGTTTGCTCAGAGCCACCCCAGGGCTGCAGGAAGAGGGATGCAGGAGGTGAGCGTGGGGCTGTGCCCTGTGGAGCTCTGAGCCTGGGCAGCCTGGATGGGCAGTGATGGCAATGGCTTGCAATGAGCTGCCATGTGGTCACTGTGCTCCTGCCTCATCTAACAAGAGGAGCTGCTGAGCTGAGGTGGCTCTGCACATCATTGAGATTTACGTAGCACAGCAAAGCTCAGGGACACAGTTCCTAGGGTGTAGGAATACAGAGCATCCAGCTGTTCTCTTTTCAGCCACCATTGGATGCAGCCCAGTTGCCCAAGTACATTGAGGTGTATGTGGTTCTGGACAAGGCTCTGGTAAGTCAGCAGCATCCGTTTCCTCCCTGTGTTTGCTCTGATTGTGCCATTTCCAGCTTCCACTAATTCGTGGCTTCCCTTTGGGGTGGTATTTGTGCTGAGGGTTTTGCAGGAAGGGAAGGGTGGATGTTGGTAGCTCGCACTTACGTGATGGGCATAGGGAACACTTTAACGTTGTCTTGTGCTGTCACAAGCCATGCTTTGCCCATTTTCGTGTCTCATGCTGTTTTTTAGCACAACTATTTGGGCTCAGACCAGAACGCTGTGACACAGAAGATGATCCAGGTTTTCAATTTAGTGAACAGTGTAAGTTTGGCAGAGGCGCAGCCCCACGGGCTGACACAGAGGTTTAACTGCTCTGAGACCAAGGTGTGAGCAGCCACTGCTGCTGCTATGTTTCAGATCTTTAATCCCCTGAATGTGACCGTGGTGCCGTCCTCCCTGGAGCTCTGGATGCAGCAGAACAAAATCCCAACGGATGGAGCAGCAGATGAGCTTCTGCAGCGGTTCCTGCAGTGGAAGCAGTCGCACCTGGCTCTGCGGCCACACGACGTTGCCTGTCTGTTTGTGTAAGACCAAAACACCCCAATAACTGCAGATGAGCAGAACTCAGCCCACAGCTTCCAGCCGCAGGGCATCACAGGAAGGTCTGTGCACAGAGTTGCTGTGTTCCAGGTACCGGGACCAGGCTGACTTTACAGTGGCAACATCTCCGGGCACGCTGTGCCGCAGTGATGCATCTGGTGCTGTGGCCGTGGTATGGAGCTGTGCTATGGGGCTGTGGTATGGGGTCGTGCTATGGGGCTGTGCTGAATGGGGGGATGTGGCCAGGCCGTATCACAGCCAACAGCACTGCTCTCCTGCAGCTGCAGCGCGCCGTGACTCTGGAATCGTTCTCCGTCGTCCTGGCGCAGCTGCTGGGGCGCAGCCTGGGCATGGGGTTTGATGATGGCCGGGGCTGCCGCTGCCCCACACACACCTGTGTCATGGAATCGAGAGCACTGTGAGTGCCCGGGGGTCCCTGTGTTACAGATAAGCCCAGCAGAGGGCTCTGCTGCAGATGTGATGGTGGCGGTGGGAAGGGAGGAAGGATAAACGGGGGTTCGCTTTTGAAAAGCAAAGCTTTATTTCTGAAAGCAAGAAATTCCTGAACGCTGCCCAATCCCCATTAGAATCACAGAATGGCCCGGGTTGGAAGGGACCTCAAGGATCACAAATCTCCAACCCCCTGCCACATGCAGGGCCACCAACCTTCACATTCACAGCAGCCCAGGCTGCCCAGGGCCCCATCCAACCTGGCCTCCAACACCTCCACGGATGGACAGGGCATCACAGCCTCTCTGGGCAGCTGTTCCAGCACCTCACCACTCTCATAGCAAAGAACTTCCCCCTGACATCCATCCTAAATCTGCTTGGGAAGGATAAAGGCTTCACTATTGCAAAGCAATACCTTTTCTTTCCAAAATCAAGATGGAATGCTGCCCAGTGCCACAGCAGTGGCGATGCCAGCACACAACCCCAGAGGTCCACCCTTTCTTTCAGACGCATCGGTGGGGCAAAGACCTTCAGCAGCTGCAGCGCTGCAGACCTGGAGCAGTTCCTGTGGCAAAACCCAGAGTGCCCCTTCCTCGGTGTCCTGCAGGTGCACCCCGACCCCAGAGCCGCCGTCTGCGGCAACGGCGTGGTGGAGCACGACGAGCAGTGCGACTGCGGTGGCGATGTGGTGAGCGGGATGGGGATGGTTGTGGGGCTGGGTTCCCTGCCCTGCTCCCTAACGGCAGGACGGGGGCAGCACTCATCCTGCAGCGAGAGCAAAAGTTCATAGTGTGCTTGCAGGCGTGTGCCGTGGATGCGTGCTGCACTACGCAGTGCAAGCTGAAGCCCGGCTCGGAGTGTTCCTTGGGACTGTGCTGTGAAAAATGCCAGGTGAGACGGGCGAGACCCTGCTGGGAGTTAAGGCAAGCATCACGCTGAGCAAGGCTGAAACGCTGGGTGGGAGCCGGATGGACGGGATGGGGGTGCGGTGCTCACAGAGCCGCAGCCAGCAGTTGGTGTTCAATCCCAGTTCAAAGCTCCCAACACTCCGTGCCGCCCCCCCGCCGACGCTCAGTGCGATCTGCCCGAGTTCTGCAACGGCTCCTCTGCCTCCTGCCCCCCTGATGTCTACGTGCAGGATGGGCACAGCTGTGAGCACAGCACAGGCTACTGCTACCAGGGGCGCTGCCAGTCGGCTGAGCTGCAGTGCCAGCAGCTCTATGGGAGAGGTAGAGGCACTTGGCGCAGTGCTTTTGGGGCCAGAACCCCCCCCACACCTGGGAACGGGTCCCTCTAACCTAAAGAACTGATCTATGCTAAACACAGCCGTGTTTAGCCGTTCTGTTCCGTTGCTTCCAAACTTCCAGGTGCAAAAAACGCCCCTTTGGCGTGTTATGAAGAAATCAACAGTCATCAGGATAGGTTTGGGCACTGCGGCAATCGGCTGCTGGATGGCTACCAGCCCTGCTCCTGGCTGTAGGTGTAACCCAGGGTGTTTGGTTGGTGCTTCCCTTTACTTCCCAAGCAACACTTCATGCAAAGATCTCACACCGCTGCGGTGCGGCTGCGTTCTGCACACTGACTTTTCTTCCTTTGCTGTGCTCTGATGAACTTCTTAGGAATCTGGGCTGTGGAAAGCTCATCTGCACATACCCAAATCAAGTTCCCTTCACCAAATTAAAGGGTGCCATCATTTATGCTCAAGTGCAAGAACATCTGTGCGTGTCTTTTGATGTCATGCATGCACCCAGTGAGGCAGATCCTCTCCTGGTTAAGGACGGCACAAAATGTGGTCCTGGAAAGGTAAGAAGTGTTCCCCAAGCTGGCCATTGCTCTATAAAAGATCCCTTGGTCTTAGGGATGATCAGTAAGCCAATGGCACAGGCAATAAGCAGAGACCACCTTTAAATTATACTGCAAAATAGCAGCTATTTCCAAAGCTGTTACATCCTGTGATCATGGTACATCATCAGCTTGATGAAGGGAGATAGAAAAATGCCCAGCAGGGTTTTATTTCCTATTGTACTTGCAGGTGTGCATGAATGGCACGTGCCACCCACACTCCATTCTGAACTATGACTGCAATGCAGAGAAAAAATGCCATGGGCATGGGGTAAGTGACAGCAGCGCTGCTGGGGAGGTGATGCTGTGCTGCTCAGTGTTGAAGAGGAGCAAGAGGTTATTTCCAGGTGTTTGGGACTTGGCCAAACCTGGGGGGTCCTCATCCTCCAGAGTCATCGTGCAGCAGCATGGGAGAAATCGAGACTATTTAATGTTCTAAGGCCAAAATTAAATGGGATGAAGGAACGTGGAGTATTTGCTCATCTAGATTAGCGGAAAACTGGAAACGGAGAGTTTTCTTTTCACTCTGGCACTTGCAGGTGTGCAATAACAAGAAAAACTGCCACTGCCAGCCAGGCTGGAATCCACCCCACTGCAGCACGCGGGGATCTGCGCTGGGTGGCAGCACTGACAGCGGGCAGCGGCTGCGGGAAATGGAGAGTGAGTGCGCATAGAGCGGCCCCGAGCAGCCCCAGGGCTCTCAGCATCACCTGGGCTGCCGTGCGGTTCTGTCCCCAGGCCATGCCCCGAAGGTCTCTCCGAAGGTTATGCTGAAAAACGCGCTGCTGCTGAGCTTCTGCCTCCTCGTCCCCATCCTCATCTGCATCGTCATCCTGATCATGAAGTGGAGCCGGCTGATGCGGCACTGTGCCAGGAGTGAGGTGGAAGCTGCTGAGTGAGTTGACGTTGGGTGGGTGAGCAGGGATCGGTGGCAGCTCCTGGGAAGCTGTTGAGATCCAGAGGACATATTCCATGCCACCCAGCTGGCTGTCTGCAGGAAAGGCCTGGGAGAAATTGCTGGTTCCAAGGGGAAGGAAACAGTAGAAGGGGGAAAAGTTAGATGCAGGAGGAGCTACACAACTGGAAAGCAACACATCTGTCCCGCTGTGAAGCAGTGAGAGAGTGAGAGAGACAACGTGAGAGCAGGTCCAGGACAGGGCAGGCATCTTTGGTGTCCCTCAGGGCATCACCGTGTGCTCCATGACGGTGTCCCCAACCCAAAATAATGGGGCACAGATTTTGGAATGCACACGTTTTGGGAATGGAGATGTGATGGGGTCCGGCAGTCTGTCCGGCTGGAGGCGGCGTGTGAGAGCAGAGACCGGGCTGCGCTGAGACCCCCGTGCTGAGCCCCCATTTGTCCCTGCAGCTCCGCCGACGAGGAGACCAGCAGCATCGGGAGCAACGAGAGCAGCGGGAGCAGCCAGAGCAGCCGTGCGGGGATGGAGCCGGAGCCGGAGCGTGGCTCGGGGCAGCGCGCGGGGGATTCACGCGAGCAATAAAGACGTTGAAGCAACCGGCGGTCGTCGGGGCGATGCGGGCGGCTCTGGGGCTGGCGGTTCTGCTGGCGGTGCTGCTGGGAGGAGCGGCCCAGGGGCGGCCCCGCGTCCGAACCTTCAGCATCCCCATCGCTGGCCGTCCCCGCACCGTGCGGCTACGGCAGCAGTAAGCGGGGATGGCGGCGGCGAACGGGGGCGGCCCCGGCGGGGAGCGGCACCGCGGAGGGTCCGTCTGTTCTGTGCGCAGAGTTTTTCTCCCCGAGGAGGTCCGGATTTACACCGACGGCCGCGGCGGAGGCGAGCAGACCGAACTCGCGCATCTGGAGGTAACGGTGCGGCCGTGCGCTGCGCCCGACGGCTTTGGGTAGGGCTGGAGGGGACACCCGGAGCAGCAGCGGTGCAGTTTCCCTTCTGCACGGACGCTCTTTGAGGCCTCTTGCTTTCCTTGGGATGCTCTTCCGCCCCTGGGGAGCGCACGGAACCTCATTTGGCGGAGCGCTGAGGCCGGGAGGAGCGGCCACCAAATGCCGTCGGTTCGGTGCTCGTTCCTCGGAACCTGCGGGGATGGGACGGGACCACAGCGCTCAGCTCTGGTGCCCGGCGCTGTTTCTGCTCCCTGCTGCTCCCCACACAGCAGGCACCGCGCTGATGGTGCGGCTTCACTGCTTCCAGCGCGACTGTTTCTATGAGGGCTACGTGGAGGGTTTCCCAGGGTCACTCGTGGCACTCAGCACCTGCTCCGGGCTCAGGTAAGCTGTCCACCCTGCTGTGACAGCAGGAGCACAGGCAAGGGGACCGGCAGTGCTGCAGCAGAGCCATTCCTGCCCTCATCTTCACCCTGCAGTGGGATCCTGCAGCTCGCCAACACCAGCTATGGGATCAAGCCTCTGGAGGCTGCATCTGGCTACCAGCACCTCGTTTATCAGATGGAGGGGGAAAACGTGGGCACGCAGCCGCTGGGAGGAAGGAGCTCCCTCGCCTGGGCTGCAGAGGTGTCCCTGCAACCATGGGATGGAGCGGTGAGCACAGCTCGGGGCAGTTTGCTTTGGTGAAGTGATGCCATAGACCTGGGAGATCTCCAGCTCTCTGCAGCTGGGTGTTGTTCCTGCATTTGTTCAGCACCTCAAATGTTAATGACTGCCCTGTTAAAATGTGTGTGGGGGTTTTTTGTTGCTGTTTAATTTGTTTTGTTCTTCTCAAGGCGAAGGAAGCTGTTCCTAAGTCCCCTCGGTATCTGGAGATGCATGTCATTCTGGACAAAGCTCTGGTGAGTTTGCATCTTCTCCATCTTAAATATGTTTTCCCTAGGAAAAACCTTCACAAAACATCAGGGGAAATGTGCACAGGGCTTGGCATGCCCCATGAGGTGGGAAGCAGCTCCCCTGGGCATGGAAAATGACACGGAATGGGTTGCAATGGGAGAGCTGCCCAGTGTGGGGGGCAATGCGTGGTGGCAGCTCTGTGGCAGACCCTGTGCGGGGTGCTCCTGTGCTCTGCAATCTGTCATCTTTCAGTACGACTACATGGGAGCAGACAAACATGTGGTGACAACGAAGATGGTGCAGCTTTTCAGCTACGTGAACAGTGTGAGTGCATTCAGTTGGGTGAGAGAAGTGCTGCAGAGGGATGGAAAAGGCCCCACACCAAAAGAGTAGGGAGCAAAGTTGCCCCAACCAGCCACGATTTCTGCCTCTTTCCAGATGTTCGCTCGCCTCAACCTGACCATAGTGCTGACTTCCCTGGAGCTCTGGACAGAAAAGAACAAGATCCAAACCACGGGAGCTGCTGAAGAGTTACTGGAGAGATTTCTGCAGTGGAAAAGCACACATCGTACCTCGCAGCTGCAGGACATAACATTCCTGTTTGTGTAAGGAGGGGATGGCTGGCGTGGGGATGACAGGAACAGGAGCATTGGTGTAGTGCAGGGCAGCACCACAGGGCTTGGTCTGTGCTGTCCTCAGCTACAGGGAGCAGTCCCATTCCATGGGAGCATCCTCTGCAAGGAAGCTGTGCCTCAAGGACCGCGCTGGAGGAGTAGCTTTGGTATGGAGCCCTGTGTCCATGCAGGAAGCCCTGTGCCTGGGCACAGCATTGGGCTGTGGGTGAGGGCTGCTGGCAGCAGGGATTGCTCTGCTGGGTGCTGAGCTGTGGTGTGGGGGCTTTGGGCTGGCGGTGCCCCACAGCTGCAGTGCCCTCGCAGTACCCTCGTGCCACAACACTGGAGGTGTTCTCAGTGGCTGTGGCTCAGTTGCTTGGGCTCAGCCTGGGGATGAGCTACGATGACCCTGGGAGCTGCGGCTGTGTGGGAGCCACCTGCATCATGCAGAGCAGCGCAGTGTAAGGCTCCTGTCCTCCTAATGTAGCTTCTGCTGATGGGAAGGGCTGTGGAGCCCCGGCACACAGACCTCACCCTCTGCTTACAGTCACTCAGCTGGCGCCAAAGCCTTCAGCAACTGCAGCATAAGAGACTTGGAGCATTTTCTCACCTCTGGAGAAGGGCAGTGCCTGCTGAACAGGCCACTTGTGAACGTGTCCTACAAAGCTCCAGTGTGTGGCAACAAAGTGGTGGAGCTGGGAGAGGCCTGTGACTGCGGGTCAGCGGAGGTGGGTGGTGAGCCCTGGTGGGAGCTGTGCCTGGGGAAGAGCCACGCCAGGAACCCCTGGAGCTCTGTCCATATATCCCTATGGGATCAGCATGAGCTCTCCTGACTGTCTGTGCTCGTTGCTTCCAGGAGTGCCGGCGTGATCCCTGCTGCACTGTGGGCTGTAAGACAAGGAAAGGGGTGCAGTGCCTGTCGGGGCCGTGCTGCTCCAGGTGCAGGGTGAGCCGTGCTGCAGCGGTGTTGCATTGCTTGTTTGCAAGACCTGTGTGCAGAGCACCCTAACAGGACCCTGTGCTGCTGCCTGTGGGTGTGCACTGTGCAAAGCTCTTCTCGTTCTGCCTCTTTCCACCAGTTTATGAAGAAAGGCACCCTGTGCAGAACTAGCTCTGAGGATGAATGCGAGCTGAAGGAGTATTGCAATGGCACCTCTGGGGCGTGCGCACCCAACCTGTGGGTCATGGATGGGCATCCCTGCAGGCAGAACACTGCCTTCTGCTACAGGGGGGTGTGCCAGACCGCCGACAAGCAGTGCCAGGAGATCTTTGGCAAAGGTGGGGCAGCATGCTGCTGGGGGAGCTGTTTTGCAGGGGGTATAAAGGGCCAAGAATCAAAACCACTGGGTGCAGCGGGTTGTCCCATGGATGACGCCCAGCTGCGAGGTGGGGTGAGGCTTTCTGGCAGTGATGATATGTGTTTGCAGATGCCAAAAACGGACCCTTGGCCTGCTATGAGGAAGTCAATGGCCAAAGGGACAGAATGGGGCACTGCGGCTCTGATCACAGTGGTTACCACAGCTGTGCCTGGAGGTGAGGGTTGTGGAAATGCTTCTCTCCTGTGGCTGTGCTGAGCCTTCTCATGTCAGAGAGTGACACAAAGAGGAGCAGAAGGGTGAGGGTGGTTTGCAAAGCCCTGTGCTCCTCGTGCCTGCAGTGATCTCCGCTGCGGGAAGCTCATCTGTGAGTACCTGGGCACTGTGCCCTTCACCAAGGAGAGGGCTGCTGTGGTTTACGTGCGGATGCAGAACGTGCTGTGTGTCACACTGGACTACATGCAGCCTCGCACAGAGAGGGACCCCATGCTGGTGAGGGATGGCAGCGTTTGTGACAACCGTAAGGTGAGCAGTGCTGAGGTGTGGGGTGGCTTCTGTGGAAAGGAGGAGTTGTTGGAAGCATTTCTGCAGCAGTGGAGACCCAGGGGCAGTGGCTTTTCCATTGGTTGGATCCCAGACAAGTTGAGATCGATAGTATGAACGCCACTGAAGGGGGTGAAGCAGGAGGTGGGTGCCCATCGTGTGCCGACTCTGTGCTTTAGGTCTGCATGGGACAGAAGTGTGTGTCTGCTGCTGCCTTGAACTACAGCTGTGACATAAGGAGAAAATGCCACGATCACGGTGTAAGTGGCAGTGCTACGTGTGCTTGGTTTTGGAACCACTGCACTCTCTGCAGCTTGCAGGTGTAAGGATGCGTTCATGGTGAGCTGATAGAAATCATTTCGCTTCCTCTCCTATGCAGGTGTGTGACAGCAAAGGGGATTGCCACTGTGATGTTGGCTGGAAGCCCCCAGATTGCAGGGAGAAAGCAGAGTCACGGGGAGGGAGCAGTGAGAGTGGTGGTGAGCAAGGAGGGCTGTGAGTGCAGGAGGGGCTGTTTCCCCTCTGTTTCCCCTCTGGCTGCTGTGTGTTGAAGGAGTTGTCCCTTGCAGAGCCCCGGAACAAGAGCTCGCTGAAGACATGGCAGCTTCTCACCTTGTGTCTCAGTGTGCCCATCCTCCTTGGGCTCATCTTCGTGGTGATAAAGAGAAAGGAGCTGAAGCAATGTCTGTCCACAGAGCAGCCACAAGAAGAGAAGTGAGCCTGCTCCCCTCCATGGGGTGTGGGTGGCAGGAGGGGCAGAGCCCAGAGCTTGCCATCGTCATGAGGAGGGGAAGGCAAGTGCTGTTTGGCACTTACAGGAACCCCCTTCTGCTCCCACTGTAGGTTTGAGGAAAGCACTGACAAGGAAAGGAGCACAGTGGATGCGTAGCATCACAGCTGGAAAGGCCTTTAAGGATCTTGCCCAATTCGTGGGTGTCTGTGATGATCTTGTGAATGGAGGCAGCAGCAGCAGCAGCATGGACCCCTGGGCAGGGGGCTGGAGTCTGTGTGAGGGACACTGAAAGGCCGTGTCCTTTGTGTTGTGTCCTCGTGTGTGTTGTTCAATAAAAGGTGTTTCTGGTGCCTGAGGTCTGTGATCCCTGCAGGGCAGGGCAGGGTGCAGGTGCTCCCTTCATATATTACTTCTGCTCTCATCCCCCCCGGAGCTGTTGCCATGGGAAGAGCATGCCATCCACTAATGCACATTTAATCCAGCATTACAGCCTTGTGCTTTGACAGCAGGAATTTAAAGACAACCTCAGCTCGTGTTCGGCCATTAAGAAGTTAGCTGGAAATGCAGATTAATCTTCAACCGACATGAAATGTGACTCTGGGAGCTTTGCTCCCTGCTATGCAGCACTGACTGCATGGCAGCAGCTTCAGCCATGGCTCCCCTTAATCTACCTTGGCTGCACCGAGGCTGTTATGAGAGCGTAAATCAGCAGCACTGTGCAAACCCAGGGCTCAGGACTCAGTTGGTGCACACACCACTCCCCCAAGGGACAAAATCCCCAGTCCTGGAGGGAGGACACCACTGGGGTGCCATGCTGGAGCTTCTCCCCATGTCCCCATACTCACAGCCCCATCCCTGCTGCAGGGGCCGGAGCTCAGCACTTGCTTATCAGCAACCTTTACTCGTGTTTGCTCAGCCCCTCCGGCCACAGGCACCCCCCCCCAGGACAAGGTTCGGGGCTGGCTCAGCACAAAGCAGGGCAGCAGAGTGTCCCAGCTGGGATGGAGGCCGGGGACGGGAAGGAGGAGAGCCTACAGCCCATGGCACTGAGCCGCTTCCAGCTCTCCGAGGAGTATGGCTTCCTTCTGCCCAACCCTCTGGTAGGACACAGCTGTGCCCTCGGGTCTGCATGCTAAAGAGAGATGGGGCAGATAAAAGTAAAGGCAGATATTGGGGTTGGTGAGCGCTGTGCTGGTTGGGTTGTCACTTAGCACTGCTTTACAGTAGTTTACAGAACCAACGAGGAATGCATGCGAGATTTTGGCTTAGGCAGATTCATAGGACAAATTCCTCGCTTTAAAAATGATTACGCTGGCTGCAGCAAACGGCACAGGGGGAGAGGAGCAGGAGCTCTGCAGTTCAGATAGAGGCTGTGGATTTACGAGGAGGGAATTTAGATGGCAAATCTCCTGCGCTACAAGCGGTGCCATTTGTCACCAGGCGCAGCTTACAGCTGGAGCTCTCAGGGACAGGCAGACAGTTGTTTATCGGCCATTAGTTCACAATCACAAGGGCTGGTATTACAAGTGGAGGAACCAGACACGAGCCATTAGCTGCAAATCTGAGGGCTGGATGGGTGCTCCTGTCCCTTGCCACAGAACCTTTCCCCATGCAGTGGAGCGCTGCCCTGTGCACACCTGGCACTGCCACTGTGCTCCCTTTCCCCGACCTGCAGCTGCTTTGCACCAGGATGAAGCAGCTGTGTTCAAGTGCAGACTTGATCTCCCAGCCCTCTGTGCCCTGAGCAGGATCAAGCTCCCAGCCTCAGAATGGACCTGTGTATCTCTCTGGTCCCCAGCATGTGATGTGCTGATGCCTGATGCTCTCCCTCCTGCCATCTCCCCAGACAGAGCTGCCACCTTCCTACAGCCCTTGGATGGACATTGCCCAGGAGCTGCCCCAGCTGATCGCCAGCCACCAGCTCCGTGCACGCATCCACCAGGTACATGTCACTGCATCTGGCTTTGGAGTGCTCTTAAACTTCAATCTGATGCAGCTGGGTCTGCAAAGGTCAATGCAAAGCAAACCAATAGTGCTCTGACTGGGTCAGGTTAGCACCGGTCACTTTTGTGCCTGCAAAAGCAAAGCCTTAATTTGGCATAGAGCTAACTCATTGCACAGCTGCTGAGACACCTCACGGTGCAGGGCAGTGAGATTCCAAGGGTTACCAGGGTTCATCACATGTAACCCAACCAGTTCCATCAACAGCAAACCCTGAAGGGGTGGGAGGAAAAGAACAGATATCCACAGGGAGAGCACAGGGCTGGGGGTGTGCAAGGCGAGGTGCCAGGAGGGCACTGCTGGGCTGGGAGCACACAAGGCACATGTGCTGCCCATTGCTCGTGAGGGTCTCTCTGTCAGATGCCACAGCTGAATACTCAACACCTCCAAGGACGAGAGGAGCTGCACCTGGCTCACCTGGTGCTCAGCTTCCTCACCATGGGCTACGTCTGGCAGGAGGGCGAGGAGGGCACCACGAAGGTAACATCAGCCCCTGCTCTCTGGGGGCCACAGCCTTCGTGCAGGGGGTGATGCCAGAGCTGATACAAAGCCCCATGCTGTGCTCTGTGCCCCCCCAGGTGCTGCCCCGCAACCTGGCCGTCCCCTTCTGGGAGGTGTCACAGGCCCTGGGGCTGCCCCCCATCCTCACCCATGCAGACTTCGTCCTGGCCAACTGGAGGAGGAAGGATCCCAGCGGGTAACCAGGCGAGCGTGGCTCCTGTCCAGCACAGAGCTCCCATCACAGCCAGAAACCATTTGGAACCACCACAGCCTGGGGCTGACCCATGGCTGAGAGCCAGGGAAGGGTTTTGCCCCACGGTACACGTGGGGGCAAGTGGCCAAAGGCTGGACCTCCCACTGGCAAGCGACCCTGTTTGCATCCTATGCAGCACAGCCCACTGCTAGAACCGTTTATAACATCTCTCTATCTCTCTGCTTCTCCCCCTTTTCATGTGTATTTGCTGTCGATGCTCAAAATGCCTCCAGGCCTCTGGAAATTAAGTAAGTATTTAAGATGCTTATTTATTTTCTAACAGCATTAGTTTTGTTTGAATTGGCATAGCGCTCCCACACTGCAGGGCTCTGCTGGGTTAAACCTCTCTCACCCAGTGAGAGAAACAATTCAGTCCTTGGCACACAGACACCACTGCAACAGCAGCAATGCACCATGGCAGAACAGCTGCTGCTCCAACCTCTGCAGAGCAGTGCTACCAGGGAAGGGTTTAGGATCCCTCAGAGGCAGAGCAGAGCATTCCCCTGCCTACCTGTGCTTGAAGAGTGGGACATTTTGCACCTGGAAGGTTTTTCCCCCCAAGGACTGAGCTATGCTCTGGCCCAGCACTGGAGCAGGCAGCTGCACACTGAGTCCTGTGCAGATCCTCCAAACCACTCACCCATTTCTAGGATGCAGGAGTGCATTGGTGCTCAGTGCAAACTGCTGCATCCCCTGAGCGCAGCACACACGTGGTGTCTGGGCTGGAGACAGGCAGGGAAACAGGGAAACAGCTGCTGGCTGCCCTGCAGGAACCTGGAGCCCATCATATCACTGCCTGGGGGAGAGAGCCTGCGCGGATTCATCCTCGTCACACTCCTAGTGGAGAAAGCAGCTGTGCCTGGCATCAAGGTAGGGTGCTGCAAGCCCCACAGCCACCTGACCCCACAAGTATTCAGGGCACAGGCTCTCTGTGTAAGTGGGGTGCATTTCCCTCCACCCATCTTAGCCCATCACTTCACGCTCTCCTTCTCTGCTCCTTGCAGGCCACCATTCAGGCCATTCACGCCCTCCAACACTTTGATGATGAGCGCCTGCACCGAGCCCTGCAAGAGCTGGCAGAAGCCATTGGAGACATGGACAAAGCTCTGCAGCAGATGCACGGTACCAGGAATGCACAGTAACAGCAGCCTGCACCCTCAGGGCTCATTGGATGCATGGTGTAAATGCACTGTGCCTTTGAGCACCTCACCAAGCCCTGCTCTGAGGGCAGAGTGGGGTCCCCTCTGCTCAGGGAGCCCACGGGAAGCATTGCTGCAGGAGCCACCACCTGCATTATCCCCACAGTAACATCTCTGGTCTAATTTCCACCTAGATTACGTGGATCCAGCAGTATTTTACACCGTGATCAGGATCTTCCTCTCTGGGTAAGTGGGGTGCATTTCCCTCCACCCACATCACCTGCTCAGAGCAGCAGAGCACAGCGCCGTGGCTTTGCTGTCCCTCAGCTCCTCGCAGGGCTGCCAGCATCACAATCCTCTCTGCTCTTGGCCTTCTCAGAAGGTTTCTATTTTTATTTCTGTTCAGCATTTCTCAGCATTCCTAAGTCAAAAGGCTCCATGCATCCTGATGATGTTTCTTTCATTTTATTTTTTTTTTTTTAATCCAAGCTGACCTTGTCGTGATGGTCATCAGCCTGGAAAAACATGTCTTTGAATTCCCTTCTGCTTATAAGTACTTCCCACTAGTAAAGGCTACTATAAATACATCCCTGGGAGAACTAAAAATATTAAGGTATTTGATAATGAATCTATTTTCTCTGCAATTTGAGCAAAATCTGCTCCTGCAGTCAAACAGCACCAGCAGCCAACGCCGAAAGCTCCATGAAACAGTGCATTCTTCAGGAGGTCAGGAGATATTTTTGTGCCAGGCACATTATGGCTCTGAAATTATAACTCCTCTCTCCATTTGTAGGAGAGCATTTATCCATTTTTGCACAAGCAGGGTGACACGGCTGTGAGTTAATGGCGTGCAGAGGGGGAGGCAGCAGAGCAGCTCAGTTCCTGGCCTTGCTAGGGATGAGCATCTTTCATGAGAGGCAGGAAATCACATTCTGGGCTCGTTCTCTGCTGAAATAAAGGCAGTGGATGAGGATGCAGCCCCGGGGCTCATAACAAAACACGCCATTATGGTTTTCTCCCTGCACTGTGACCTTGCAGTGCACCTTGACGTGCTGTTTATTCCCGAATTTATCTCGCATTTGAGGACAGCTCTCAGGGCGCAGTGATGCACGGCTGGGGGCAGGAAGGCAGCACTTCATCTACCAGCCCAGGGTCACTCCTGCAGCCCAGCACTGGTTGTGCTGACCTGTCCATGTCTGTGCTGACCTGTCCATGTCTGTGCAGCTGGAGGGACAACACGGCCATGCCCCACGGGCTGCTCTACGAAGGAGTCTCCGAGCAACCCATGGCGTTTTCAGGAGGCAGCGCAGCACAGAGCTCCGTGCTCCACGCTTTCGATGAGCTCCTGGGGATTCAACACAGCCAGGAGAGCAGTAAGTCCAACACTTCTCCCTTTTTCTCAGGGGCTGCACAGAACCAACCCGCTGCATTGCCCGTTGTGCAGCTCCCGTTGTGCCTACAGCAGGTACAGCAGCCCACCTTGCCCTCCAAAACCCTTCCGCTGCCTCTGGCTGTCCTCAGTACATAATATGAGGAAGTCCATAAACCAGGCTCTGGCACACTTCCGTGCTGCTATAAATTCCCGGAGGAACAGACTTTGTTTTTTTGCACGTCAGCTCTTTGCTGAGGTTATATATGGGTACAGAGCTGAGGAGAGGAGCACGCCAGCACCCTGCCAGTAACTGAGCTCATCCATTCACATCGCTCTGCCCACACCAGAACGCGTTTATCAGAAATTAGCAAAGCCGGCCTAATAGCAAAATAATACACAAACGCCGAGAGCAAAGGCTTAAATCTGCCTTTTAGGGTTAAAGCTGACACTAATGAAGCTCTGACCTAATAAGGGTTTGTTTCTCAATTAATTTAACACGTTCAGAAAGAGCTGAGGACAAGAGGCTGCGCAGGGATGTTGCTGATACTGAACAGCAGAACTCAGTGCCAGGGGCAGAAGGGAAAAGCCAGCAGGAAGCTGGTTTGGGGGTTTTGGGGTACCCCATAGACCCTGCAGCTGTGGGGCCCAGCACAGCCCTCCAGCAGGATCTGAAAGGTGAAACCTTTCCCATAGGCATCCAGGAGAAGGAGGAAAGGGCAGGGGAAGTGCCAGCAAACGTCAACTTCTTGGAGGGCATTTGCATTGAACTTTGGACAGGGACTCATCCTTCTGCATCTCCTCTTCCCTTGGATTTACATCACACCAACTCCTAAAGGTTCTCCTGTGGTTTAACATTAACTTTTCTTTTTTTCCACCCTCCCTAGAGCATAGGCAGGCCTTCCAAGGGCAAACAAGAAGGGGAAAAGCAATCTAATATTCCCACCTACAGAAAGGCCTCTTCTCATTTCTCCCAACGTCTCTGCCGGTGTTTTGCAGCCACGTTCCTGCACAGGATGAGGGACTACATGCCCCCTCCCCACCGTGCCTTCATCAGGGACATCAGCCAGGCTCCCTCCCTGAAGCAGCACATCCTCAGCTCTGCAGACCCGCGGCTCCGTGAGGCGTTCAACCACTGCATCACAGCACTGGTGGACTTCAGATCCCACCACATCTCCATCGTCACCAAGTACATCGCTGTGGCCAAGGCCAGGGCAAGGCAGGAGGAAGCTGCTTCCATTGGCAAGCCCCCAGTTGCACTGGAGGCCAAGGGAACCGGCGGGTCACACATCTTCATCTTCCTGAAGAGCGTCAGGGACAGCACCAGACAAGGGCTGATCAGTGTCTGATGGCACGGTGCTTGCTTGCTGCACCTTTCTGCTCGTGCAGGTCTCAGCTCACTCCTCCCCACTGCATCCTTGCCTGCTCTGCAGCATCTCTTCAGGATTTCATGATTCCAAGCTGCTCTGAAACACGAGCCTGCCTGGGGGAGGAGAGTGCTGCCATCCATCACCCCAAAGCACACAGGGAGCATCAGCCCAAGGCACCAGCAGGATTGTGCCACCCGATGGCCTCTGTGACATTGGGACTCCGCTGCAGGAATAACACAGCCTAATAAAGCTGCAGCTTCTAGGGACGAACCGTGCTACTGGGCTCGTTAAGGGGCGATTCCCAGGTGCTCATCTGCCCTAGAACTCCTCCAAGAAACCCAAACACGCTCCCCCGGCTGAGAGCCCGCTGCCATCACGAGGTGGCAGCAGAAAGCTGCTTTTCTCCCGGTGCCGTGCAGCCGCCTGGGTGCGAGCTGCCAACAGCATCACCGGTAGCCCAGGAAAGGGGGGGGGAAGGAAGAGAAGATAAAACAAAACATTAGTTTGCACTTCGGGAGTGCTGACTGCGCCAGCAGATTGCAGGACAGCGTTTCCCACCGTGACCCAAAGCCTCTGACACCCAGACCCGGCATCTTTTGGGCACAGACCCTCCTGCCTGCACAGCAGCAGAGCACAGTATGGCAGTGCTGGGACAGGGCACCATTCTGAGCCCAGGGGGTCCCAGCAGCCACGGGTTACAGGCATCTAGCTGCACTGCAGGTCATCAGGAGTGAGATACAGTGATTCCTGTGGCCCTTTTCAACCCAGGATACTCCATGGCTCCATGATGCCTGGGCTGGAAACAGCAAGCTGTCCAGTCTACGAATAGGGCTCTGATTGCCTTGCATTTCATTATTACTTCTGTGTCAGACAGTTTTGCTTACTGCAATGCCTGCTTCCAGGCTGAGTAACAGGCAGAAATCCTAAACAGACGTTGCAGCCACGGCCGGACCACAATTACTCACAGGGTGTCTGCTGGCAGGCACTGACTGCCCTGTCACTGCAATGCTCCAATCATCCAGAGCCAGCTGGGATGGGGAGAGCAGAATGGTTCCCCTGGGGCTGTACACAGAGCTGCAGCCCTGTATGTCTGCAGAGATTCTCAGCTACACCCTGTGCACCCCTTCCCCAACCCAGGCTGCAGGATGGGGGGAACATGCAGCCACATCAGTGCCAAGATGGCTGGGAAAGCTTTTTCCACAATGCCTGCTGTTCAATTGGCCTGGCTTCACCAAGAAGCCCCAGATTCCCCAGCATCTCAGGGGAAATCAGGCCATGTACATCCATGCTTTGTCTGCCTGGGTCTGCTGGCACAGCCACCAGAGACAGATTTCACACCCAATCAGTGTCTCAGTGCAAAAATAGCGCTGGCAGTGCCACTTCTCCTGTACTATCAGAAGAAAGTCAAGGTCCTTTGAAATGAGGCTTCATTCCCATAAGGGCAACAAAAAGCTCAGCACACCGGAGCTTGAATTGTTAAAGCTCCTTGCTAAATTTTATTTGGTGCCCTCTTTTGAAAGGCAGTCTTAAAACTGGAGCTTAGGAGGAAATATCTTCAGTAAACAACCTATAGGAGCATGGCAGCACCTTTAAATCTTTATCTGGCAGCCCTCGTTCCACTCCATCTTCGTTCCTGAATAGCTGCTGCATATTTTATGTAGGAGATATTTCATGCTGATGATTGTCTCGGGCTATTACACTTCAGACCATTTCAGGCAAACAGCAAACTAGAGTGGAGGAAAAGTCACTCCAGATGCAACATGTAATGAGGGCTCTCACAGTGAAATGGGACGGGGGGGCCAGAGGAGACATGGGACCCCCCCTGCATGGCCCTCAGCTCTGCCAGTACTGCTTAGGGATGAGAAAAGGTAGAGACAACTCACAGCTTTTCCAGGTGGACAAAGGAAGGCCTCATTGTACCCATAATGCTATAATATGATGGAAAGTACAGCAATAACAGCAGATTGGCAAAGTCTTTGGCTGCAGTAGATGAGGACAAGCCCAGATGCAGCAGCCATAGGCGTAGAAATTAAGAAAAAGAGCTGCTTACCTTCAAAAGGCCACAGGTAGGCAGGAATCTCCAGTGAGAAACCCTCACTTCCACTGCCAACCTTTAAATGAGGGCTGGGAAGGGGAGGATCCTGGCTCCAGCTCTTCTGGTTACTCAGGTGCATTGCTTACACCTGAGCTCCCCTGGGTTGGCCCTGCCTTCCCACCAGGTGCTCCATCACCGCTTCAGGTCATGATTTAGCATTGCCACTCCAGTACCCACCTGCAGTTTATGGAATGCTGTGTGAGAGCAGCACAGTGACAACGCTGGCACAGATCAGACCTGCTCTGTACAGTGGGTGTGTGCAGATCCTTCAGTGCTCAGCCCTTCCTGTCTGCTCCTGGCAGCTTGGACGGCTGCTGTGCCAAAGCTTTGATTCCTCTCTGTTTCCAAACTGCTGCTGTCTACTATTGATCACAAGGCACAGACATCTGAGGTCTCAGGTGCATTACAACGGGAAGCAGGCTGCATTTCAATAATTCAGTGGGCTCTCTGCCTAAAGATGTTGTGATGAGTTTGAAAACAGCACAGCGCTCCACACTCGTACGGTAGCATAGCAAATTTGGGTGAGTGGAGCATGGTGCACTGGCACAGGAGGGCTGTTTGTTGGGCTGCACTCAGCTTCATGCTTTCTCCTGCATCCCCCAAGGCTGGGGGAGTTCCTGCCATGCAAGCCCAGCACAGCAACAGTGCCATAGAACTCAGCCACAACCACTGCAGTGGCTGCAGACCCAAATTAGTGCTGCCCACACAGCAATCCGCCTTATCAGTACAAACAGAGCTGCTGCACACAATTCTACTGTGGGACTGCAGCACAGGAGCCACCCAGCACCATGGTTCAGCAGAGCATGGTGCAACACAGCACGGTGTGGCATAGGATGGCATAGCAGAACAGCACAGCATGGCGCAGCACCACATGGTGCAGCACAGTGTGGTGTGGCACAGCATGGCAAAGCACAGCATGGGCCAGCACAGCATGGCATGGCTCAGCACAGCACAGCACAGCATAATATGGCACAGCACAGTGCAGCAGCACAGCATGGCACAGCACAGCTCCAGGTGTTTCCCAGCTTTCATCAAACCCATGCAAGAGCCCCTGAGCTGCCTTCCCTTTAGAAGCCACAACCATCTCTGCCCCACAGCACCCACATAGCACGGCACACAGAGCTCAGGGTTGTGTCTCTTGCTACATCTTTTGTCCCTGTGAACATCTGAAATCGAACAAAAATATAAACATTTGGATTCCAGACACTTCTCAGCCCTAACCTTATTTATCATACTTGGCTCTGCTCCTGGAGTCAGGGCCAGAAGAGGCTCTGAACATTTTGAGTTATTTAATATGCTGCACATAGATCAATCTTGCTCTCCCCTCTAGCCACAGGTTTCCCTTTGTGGTTTGCTGCACAGCTATTATGTCCATCAATATCTAAGTAATTAAAAATCCACCATTATGCAGGTCCTGGCTGCCTTATGAGCTTCTCATAAGCTATAAAACATTTCATGGTCAACTTTCCTTAAGTGCCCAGGAGGTCTGTAGCACCATCACAGATCTCCTCGGCTGCTGCCATCATCCTGAAGATCCCATGCACAACCACCCTGCTGGAAAAGCAGTGAATGCCTACAACCTCCTGCCAGCTGCCCTGCACCACCACCCTGTGATTTGTGCCAGAGGAGGCAAACTGGGAGACAAGTACTTGTCCTTCTCCTGTGTGGCTCAGCTGCTGGTCTCATAGGGATTTATCAGTAACAACCAAGTTTGCTTTGCAGTTTCCACTTGGGAGGAACAAGAGGATGTGGGATGTAATTGCCATAACCTCCTTGGCACCACTGCTCGCTTGAGATGTGATGCTGTGCCTGGTTCATGCCCTGGGCACTGAGTCCCTCAGAGCACCTGGCCTGGCTGGGGTGCAGAGGGCTCTATCACTGCCTGCGGGATTGCTCACCTTGGCAAGAGTGACTGCAGTCCAGAGATGATGAAAGGACATGACTCAAGGCAAAAAGCGCTAATTACAGCTCAGACGGAGGAGGAGACAGGAACTGCTACATTATGCCTAATAAAGGAGAGGAATAAGGAACAGATTGAAGAGCCATCGCTGCAGAGATGATGAACAGGGGCTGTCCCAGTGGCACGGCACTGCTGGGAATGCCCAGGGCTCAGCATCTCTCATGGATTGCTTCCACCATTTGTGCACCCTTGGAGTACCTGCCACACCACTCTCCTTGCTTTGGGTCCTTGCCAATGCCTTCCTGGCCCTGCCACCAAACCTCAAAGCAGCCAAAGCAGGAGGCTGCTCCTGGGTTCCCATGGACTCAGTGCTGGGAACCAGAAGCACTGCAAATTGAGCAGCCAGCTGGAGGCTGCCTGAAGGGCCCTGAGGGAAAGGACTTGTTCTGAGCCCAAAGTCCCCAGGGTTGGTGCAGCAGCTACAAAGCTATGCACCATTAAAGCCGTTCATAAATAGAAAGAACCAGCAACTAAAACATTAGCATTTGAATAAAAATAACTTTGCAAAGCAGCCAGAGCTAAAACCAGGTCTTGGCAAAGGTCTCTGGCCTCCTTCTAGGATTGAGATTGCAGCAACCGCATGCATCCCTGCAGAGCATAGGAACACCCTGGGTGTGCAGGGACAGGACAGTGTGCTCCCCAGGCTGGAGACACAGTGGATGCTGTCCCTTAATGGAGCCAGGAGCACACAGCCACCTGTATCCTCACCACTGGCACTGAGCAGGGACATGCTTTGATTGCAGCATTGCAACACCAGGGCTGTCGCCTTCGGTATTTACTCAGAGCCGTGCACAGCGGGTTCCTTCTTTATGATGAGGAGCTGGGGTAATTTGAATAGTAAATACTATGAAGAAAGCAGATTACTATGAAATACAGATTTTTTTTCCAATAAATAAATCATGCCTGTATTTGCATGTATAATACCAAAAGGAGGCATCTGGGACCGCTGCTGCTGGTTGCAGTACTGCCTGACACGATGATTAGCAATAACCCAAAGTCTCTCTCCTCCAGCTCCCCTGATGCTCCACCTGGTTTCATGTTAGGGATAGTGAGGTGCTGCTGCTCGGGCAGAGCCCTTTTCCTGCATCTCCTCATGGAGAAAGCTCTGCTACGAGCAATGGCTGGGATTGGTGCAGCCCCAGCACTGCCCATGCCTGACCACGCCATGCCAGTGCCGTATGGGCAATGCTGGGCGCAGTTCTCTGAGCACATGCA